AATAATATGGTAAGCAGAGAGAACCATCAGATTAGCCGAAATAAATAAAAAGATACAACCTGATGGTGCTTGGAATGATTGAAACACTCTAAACGAAAACTGAGCAGGAGAGACTAGCTTTGCGAGTAGTTCTGTTGCATTCAGGGCACGAAGATGTCTCAAACATATAAGGGTTACACTGAAGCTATCGAAGGGATCACCAGAAGCACCTACATCACGGGGAAACTAATTGATTCAGGATTATCAAAGCATCTTTCAAGGCAAAAAAGTGGAGGGGTCACAATGAGTGGTATTCGGTGTTGTGCACAAACCAATGGTAGCAATGAAGACGATGGAGACAATAATTACGAGAAGATGTACTCAATCATAGAGAAGTGCTCAGAAAAGGACTTGACAACTCTAATGGTAGACCTAAATGCTAAAGTCGGAATGGACAACGCAGGTTATGGAGATGTTATAGGACGATATGGATAAGTAGAAAGGAACAAGAATTACGAGAGATTTACGAATTTATGTGCATTCCATAAAATGGTTATAGACGGAACCATATTCCTCCACGAATACATACAAACAGACACTGAACCACAACAAAAAGCGCTTGAAAAATTACATCTGAACCAATGGGAAAATTTTGAAGATCAACGTAAGACGTAAGAACAAAGAGAGGAGCTGGTATCGCTTCAGATCACCATCTGATTGTGTTCAAAATGACGGTGAAGCTAAAGAAACATTGGAAATTGGATAAACGGAATCGAAAACGTTTAATGCTGTCTTTTTCTTTGATACCGATGAACGCGAAGAACTCACGATAGCTCAAAGCAACGAGTTTTATGTCATACAAGATCCAATCAAATGAGAAACTGCTAGAGACAAAGATTAGAGACGGAGATAAACCACCGACTTCGACGTGTTGGAATGTGGTGGGACGAAAGAAGAATTCGCATAAAGTGTGGGTCTCGCTGACAATCGTGACAGGATTCAAGAAAAGAAGGACAAGAAGACAACAATTAATAACAGCCGAACAAGGGTGGGGATCGCCAAGGCACTGGCCGAATGTGCTTATCCTCTTAAATAGATTTTGAACAACACAAAATATGCATACAAGCAGCTTTCGGTAACTTACCGAGAGTATCATTATTCGAACCCAGCACAATAGAACTACAGACATGCGATGAATCACATTTCTTTATATATGATAACAACAAAAATGTTATGAAGGTCGAGACAATAACTAAAGATATATTGAAAATTATCTTCCTAAATATGTAACTTAACCAACAACATACATAAATTTGCGACACACTATATTTTCATAGCAATATGTAATGTAATCCTAGCATCAATATTAGCTGTTACACAATTTGGCGTCTGAATATCAAACAAGCTACAGTCAAAGTTGTTACTCCCTGCTTATCTTTGCTCGAAGTTAGAGTTTGTCTAGTGTTTTTAGATCCTGGTGTAGTTGGTTTCGACTATATTTTGATTGTCGGAAATTCTCTAGGAAGGTTGTGGAATTATGGTCTTATTTTACATTAGTACATATATTTTTGTTAATATAATAATCGACCTAATCCAAAGACTTTAGTTGTGTCATGACGCAACTACACAATCATGCCATTTCGACTCATCGTCGCCACGCCCAACATTTTTAAACCTCTGTAAGTGTTACATATAGGGTGTAACTCTTCTCAGTAATTATATGATCGGCTTCAAAATTGTGTGGTTAGTGGCCAATGCCACTACAAAGTCGTTAATGGGCACTCAGTCTAGAACCTATGTTGTTTGAATTACCACAGACTCTCATAATGAATCGAAGTGTATTATTTAATTCAGAAATGGTTTTTTTAACAATGTCCCCTTTATTTTTTAATGGCACATTGTATAGAAAATTTGAATAAAGAGATTCATATGATTTTTCAAAGTGTCATACAATTCTAGGACGGGAAGATAACACTTCCCAACATCATATTTGTCCTGTTTGGAACGTTCTACCGATTGATGTGAACAAAGTACACTCAGAAGACAGTTTCTGTAGGTTACTCGACAATTATCTACATATTTGCAATTTATCGTCGTTCGTCTGTAATAAAGACCAGTCATACCACATAACAGAAAAAACAGGGTTGTACGTTTATTGTCTGACATGATGTACGTTTCGTTGCTTGTAACAACTATTACCCTTTATTATTACCCTAATTATATTAAAATTCTTATAATACGATTGCAAAGCCAATCAAGTCCAGGGATGAAAAGACGCAGAGTTATTTGAATAATGTCCGATGTGCTAAAATATATGTAATCATGGGTGTTACAAATTATCAGCTAAGATGGTTTATGAACAAGCTTTAATAGTATTTACATGTTTCAGCGAAATAAACTTGTTTAAGCATCAAGCTTTAGAAAATATAACCTGTGAATAACCACTTCTTCCGGTATGCTACGGGTATTTAGTTCGTTCTTGGCTTTTCTACTCACCTGCCATGTCCTTGCAGTTGTTCTGATCTGGTCAGAAAAAAGAGGAAATATCAGCTACAAAATCACTCAGTATTCTTAATGACAAATCTGATCATCTCTTAATCTGAGATATGACAGAGTAAATTGGTCTAGCTTTTGAAGCCGCTCTTTGCATGGTAAATCTCGGAGTTCTGGAGTGTCACGGAAAGCTGGTCTCTGTACCATTTCCAGAATATTTAGGCCACCTCTTAAACAGAGGCTTACTACCTGAACGCAGTTTTCAAGTTTGAATCTCACTAAGGTTGTGTTTACCGTCATGAACATAGTAGCATTTAACTAGGTAAATACCTAGAATAAAGTCCATTGGTTATAAACCGTTTAGTTGCGGAAGTGGTCCGCGGCATTCAGATCACAACTTATTGTCACCTCAAGATCCTTGTGAAACCGAGATGTGGAAACTTATTGTTGCCCTCCGCCGTATCTATTTACCTTTATATCCCCAATGTGCATGTAGACACAAACTGCCTCTGAATTTCTGTCTACGACCTATCGGGACATCCTCAAACCATTTTAGGGGAGGTCGGGCAATGTCTAGACTTTCCAGCTTCAAGAGCAGTCTATTTATTGTCATCTTTTCAAATGCTCTACTGAAGTCTATGCATATGTATATCCACTGGTTTTGCAATGTCTAGCACCCTTTTCGATTGTTCTCTTGCTATAAAGAGATTTGTTGTGTTAGATAATTCTTCCCTGACACCACGATTCTCAATATTTAACAAGTTGGTTTTCACGAATATCATGGTCTTTTTCACTGTTCCTTCCAGTATTTTAACTACGACACTGGTAAGATTGACAGAAGTTGTACTGATCTCCTTTTATGTATTGAAGTGACGATTTCATTCTTCCAGTCCGTAAGTAACTCACTTTGGTCAAGTGACATATGGAATATCGTAGTCAGTGTGGATTTAATATATTGTGAAATTTTTCTAAGAAATTAGGGCATGGTCCACCCGGTCCCGTTGATCTTTCTCTATCTAAAGTGCTAAGAACCTTAAGTAAATCGTCTCGACCAGAGTCCACTCTGAGCAGCTGATTTTGTGACCTTCAATTTGGGTCCAGTTCTCTGTCGAAAAGAAACACCTGGGTGGAAATTGTCCCGAAATAGTTTGTCATAGCCTCTGCTTTCGCTTGATCATCCTCTATCATTTCAGATCCACTCAATTCACTAAATAGACTGTGAATCCAATGAGCAGTTCTTGTTTTGTAATTTATATATGAGAACAGTCTCTTTGGCTGCTTGATTTCCGATTGAACTAACCACTTCTCATCTATTTGCTGACCTTCACGGACTGTGACTATACAGTTTTTTGCCAACCTTTAGCGTTTTATCGCACTTTCAGTACCAAGGTTGATGGAGACGTTCCGAAATTTCTCCCTTTGAATTGGTAAACGTCGAACATAACCCATCCAGGGATAGCCGTGTTTCTTCTTTTTTGTGACTGTCCATGGAATACTTGGTTGTATAACTTCCGGAGATAAGTCCATGTCTATTCTGATGATATCCCGAATCACGTATAAAGATTTCAGCCGAAACTGCAGAGTTGATCGCCTATATGCCTGTCATCCATAAGTTTAGGGCTGGTGTAACTACCTGGCAAGCTAGTTCAGCCATGAACTTGAATGAGATGACTTCATGATCACTTCTTCCTAAATCTGAGAGGAAAGTTACTTGATTGATATCATCACCGTGTGTGAAGATGAATTCCGAGAGAGACTAGGAGTTATGTAGGTCATATCTCGAGGGATCTCTACTATGCTGGAATAAAAGTAAGGCGATTGTGGTCTCTAACAATTTGTAATCAAATGATGATTTCGATGACCATACTTCTAGGTTTCCTAAATCTGTAGATGCCTGGAGATGCCACCTACTAAAAACATTTACACCTGTCTGACCAAGATGTAAGTTTTACTTAGAAGGAATCCATCTATTTGACACTGTGAACTGCAGTGTACTTCAACCAATTCAACATCTTTCCGTTTACATTTCCGAAGGCAGTGCACCAGTTTGCATGTACCTGGGCCGCGTGCTATTGTCGCAACAGCTCGTATGGTTAAATTGCTTTGCACGTAAAAGATAAATCTACACCCATATGGATTAGTCTGTCAGCCCTACAAAGTAAGAAACCAAACAACTGAATTTCACCATCATGTAAACGATTATACTTCCCTTTAGGGGTGTCAGCGAATACTTAAACACTTACTATATTACAGAGAGAAATCATCTGCTTTAAATTTTTCGATATATCTGAAGTATTGCTATTGTCAACAATATTGTTGTCAATATTTATATTACTATCGTTCATTACAGACACCGGGTTTGGTACAGGTGCTGTCTGTGAATACGGGAGAGATATTGATGGTAAGCCTGCGTTTAATTGTGGTGGCGGTGATGATGACAGTGATGATGATGACGAACTGACATCAACCAAGCATAAACGTAAATGTCTTTCTGTTTCAAAGATATTGGGTATTTGATACTGGTTGTTAGTACTATTTCAAAGCATACGCTACTGGTCTAGCAATAGTATTTAACAAGTGATATCTAGTAATCTGGTTTGCATTTTAATTGCTTGTTGAACTTTAAAAATTTTTCTTAACACAACCCTCCTGGGGTATGACTTTCGTTTCGAAACATTTTGCTATCTTAGATGTGTTTGTGACAACCTAATCAATATTGATTAAGTCTGCGGCGAACATCTTTTAAGAGCTAACCATGTCAAAAATGCACTATTTTTTAGGGACAGTAAAGACGACCGTAAATGCATTTATAGGAATACCTACTTGTTCGTATACTTAAGTAATGTCTTCTTTATCTCAATGAACTTCACGCCTTTCAACTTCTATGCTATATCAAGACCACTATTTTCGGTCCAGTTGGGTTACTTTCCGCCAAAGCATTCAAAGTAGCATCATTCTTATAAAATCTTACCCGTACTAGTTGCACTTTCACACTTTTTGAACATAACAATTCACTTTCAAACGTGTTTAATCAAAAGAATTTTATGTCCGTTTTTATCTCCGCTTTTCGGGAAATTTTAGTACGAAAATGTTTGAATGCTAATGGCATGGACTGAGAAAAGCAGTTACCAACGACCTAGTAGTTGATATCCAATGGGATGTTATACAACACTATAAGGACAGTACCTTTCGACTTTTGTTTATTAGATGTATATTTGCCAACGTATCTTTCTCAGAGGCTACTATGTTCAGCAAATCAAATACTAGCGGTCAATCATCATACCAAGTGACTGAAAATGTTCCTGCTGGTCATCATATCTAAAACTATGTGTCAGCGCCATATGTTCGGTATGATTTTTAATTATAGCTGTGCTTTTTATTCTAAGCACAGTAATCTGGCGTAAAAGCGTTCTAATAATGTGACCAATTGAGCTTATATGGTTATTTAATGACTAATGTTCGTTATATGTTTGTCAAAAGGCGTGTTACGCAGATAACACAAAAACTGTCAAATAAAGTAATGAGATAGAATAACGCAACTAATGTTAGAAGGAGTTTCCAAATGTATTTTGCCACTTTAGGTACATGAAGCACAAGCGTATCCTACTGCAACTGCCAAGTTTTACGTACGCAAATTTAGAATCGTGATCACTGTATCCAAATACAATTTCTAATTAACAGAAATAGGATAATAAATGGGTTTTTATGAGGCAGTAGTAGTGATCAATTTAGCCCCGATAAGCTTTAGAGAAAATAAAACATGATTCGTCTAAATTTCTAAATAGTTTCTATCACGGATGAGATATTCACTTATCTAGTTAGTCATGTTCAAACTATTCTGTACCATAACATCGTAACATCAATGCTAATAAGCAATTCGGTATTTTCCCTCCTTAGACTTTGGTGTTTGCCTATCATTTGTTTTTCTCATTAGGACCATTTAATAGTAGGTATCAAACTGCGTAAAGCTTTAATCATAGGATTCTAGGCATAATGATAAGCTAAAAAGTGCTCCAAGAGTTTGTTGGCTGCTTTAATTGGTGTTTTGTTCAGTAATTGTATGCAGATTTGGAGAAAATTAAGGTAGAATAGGCATCGTTGATTTCTTATGCATAGACGTATTTGTATATCCGACTGGTACTCTGTGAATCCTAAGTAGCAAGAGCCTATTCTAGTCGAAAAATTAATGTTATTTTTTGTTTAGCTGAGAAACTAAAACAGCTTTTTGTTATTACGATAAAACACCAAATATATTACAGTGCCACTTTTTGAACTGATTAGTTTTTCGCTTAAAAATGTTAGGCGTGGGAACAAAATGTAGATGAAATTACATAATTCAATAAAATCCCTTACTGGTGAATTAAATTAGTTTCTGCTTAGAAGGGTGGTACTTTAATCAATACATTTTTGTCTTAAACTCAACACTAATTTAATGTGTTAGTCAAGTAACTGCTTTTTGTCCCACCTTCACAACCATTCTATTATGTTCATTCCCCTATTTCTGTAGCAGTTTAGCTTTTGATGAACACCTAGTGGTCTCAGTTGGTTTGGCCTATTATTTAGTCATGGAACAGATATTTTATTTAAATCCTACTCCTATTTATTTCAGATGCTTATGAATCTGTTCAAATGAGTATTTTATAAGGCTAAGAATCAAACGTCATTGTTTCCTTCTCCAAGATCCCTTTACGATCGACGAGTTTCTTCAGTTTGCTTAAAGACCATTTCCCTGTTGGGTTTTTTTTCAACAAACTAAATCGGGTGTTTAATCACACCCTATGTTCTTAATTGAATGTGTTGAGATAAGCCTCTCTGAATTATGTTATTTTCTCAGTGATGTTTTTTTGTTTATTTTTATCCAGGTGTTCTGGAAAATTGTGGAATTCTTTACTTGGTTTAAAATAACTAAAAAATTAACTTGGTCGAAACACTGAGTTTATCGTCATATTCTACTCGATGGAGGAAGAAGGAGAACTAAAAAAAGAACCATTAGACAACTCTTTGGCGTCATCCTGTCAAAATGATATTACAGAATCCCTTATGACTCAGGTAGTTACTCTTTGTATCCTCGATGTCAATTTCTCAAAATATTGATATATATACGGTTATATTATTCTTGTTACTAAAGAAGCAAGACAACTTACAGTCTGGTTTGGAACTCTTATCTCTTTTAGTAAAATACGTAGTAATATACATTATCACCTATTCTCTGTGGTGTTCAGTGGTCGCTGTTTTTAAATATATCTTTTTGTTTGTTCTCGACATCATAAACAACATATTTTTATGATTCAAAGTAGTAAAAGGTGATAAAATAAGGAGACTTCCTGAAGTTTGCGTTGAAATGTTTTCCGGATTACACTCGAAAACTAGTTTACAATTTCTCGATCTAGGTTATAATTATGTAGTTTGGTTGCACCTTGTTTTATATGATTACTATCATATATATACTCGATGTGTAGTTAAGTAGATTTCTTGTCATCGTGGCTTGAAATGTATAAGGGGTTCGAAAAAGTTTTTGTAAAACAGCCACTTAAATAAAGTTCTCTCAGCTCTCTGTTTATTCTCTGTGACGTCAGTAAAATATGAAGACAGTTTTATAAAGTTTTTCTCAGTAAAAAAGCCTTGAAAAATTATATGACCTTAATCAAACCATTCTCATTCGTCTAGAATTTATCAGTTAATCCAAATAATTGGATCTTTTAAAATGAATTTCTGTTTTTACGCCGTATGAATTAAAAATTCAGTGCATTATAATCTGCCAAGCTATTGGTCATGATAAGAATTTATTGTTACACTTTTATTTTACTAAGAAAACTATCAATTCTAAAATTCCAGTATGTTATCCAATATATGATTATGTCTGTCGGGTTATTTTGTATGATTTAGTGCTCTGAGTGCGATAACTTTATTCGCTCATGTAAATGATACTAATTTCCTCCCAACTCTATATCCTCCAATTCATTAAAATTCCAAATAAGTATTCGTGATTAGGTGCTTTTACTTATATTGCTATGATGAGGAACTGAACATATGATTCAGGTTGAATTAACAATAAAGTATACCAATTATGAGGTTCAAAATATGACCAGTGCTTAATTCATCGTTTTCCAAACATTCGAACTATACTATATGATACCAGATGTTCTTAAATTCTAAACAAACAAATAAACCTATGCTCATCCGTAAAGTAAACTATGGTGAAACGGTAATTAGAAACTAGATTTTAAATGATACATCTTCTATACAATGTCTCAGTTGATTTCATCTATTATTATTAATTTTCAGCCGATCCCTATCAATATTCGGATTGCTCAAGATATACAGGAGTTTCTATGCAAAGGTAGCGTTTTGGTAACTTATTAAATCATATAATAACCTACAATTATAATCTATTAGTTTTTTTAATATTCCGGGCAGCATTCAGAAAACCATTCAGACCATATAATGTATAAGTTTCTTAAACGAGTAACCAACATCGTTGTCAAATCATATCATCCTGTAAGATCACCATAACAACACGTTTTTACTTCAGTTCTAATAAGACTTAGTGACTAACCGTTTATTCAGTACGCTTTAAAAGTTTCAGTAGGCGTATACCAACAATACCTAACAAACAACGTAAATTGTTTTAGTATTTTTTAACGGTTTAGATTGGTTCTTTGGTGACGCTGGTTGTCTAAAAATTACTGACTTTATGGTATTAACATTTCGGAATTTCACTTTTTTGGTATATTACTGAGTAAGTAAACAAATATTTCTTACGCTCTCAAAAATGGTGTAAAAATCGTATTTCTCGATAGTGTGTTTATTCCTACAAAACCCTTCATCCAAACAGCACCTAATTGGTTACTAATATAGGAATCAATAAATAGATTTGAAATTGATATTATTGTTTTATAACCTGATGTTTGATTCATCCAATAAAATATTTAAAAGGTATGTAAAGTTTTTATCGGATCGCACAGCTGCTAACTTTACGTGGTGGTTGGGTTTGTATTTCGTAATGAATCGATCTATATTAGCTGGAATAATTGTTACTTTGTGTCCTACCACACGAAATAGGTTGGCTGAAGAACGATAAAACCAAGCAGTAAACTCGGGGTCCGAGGGCGAAGTATTGCTGCTGATTACTCAGTTGTAATGAAAATACGGGGTTTTCCTCAAAAAACCAGCATTTACGAAGATGCTGTCTTCCTACGAAAATTTAAACATAACGCTAATTTAAAAAGTTACTGACTGTTGACCTGAGTTGTATAGATTGGTGTATGCTTCTGTATGCGCGTTACAAAATATCGCCTTTGACTACCTACTATTTCTTTTGTTTATCCCAATTTCTTCCTTGTTACAACCTCATTACATTTTCAGCTATTCTCTCGTCTTGCATTCAAGGATTTATGTAGATACATGTATATCTGGCAGGTAATGATTATATTGGTTGACCATATTTACTGCTAAAAGATAGCATGAATTAAAAAATGAAGTATATTTCACGAATTCCCCATGAACTTCTTTTAGATGTTTTGTATATCTTTTTATCTTTCGATTTCACTTACTTGAGTTCTAAACCCATTTAACTACATACAGTAGATGTATCTGCTTTTATCGAAATTTCGTGTAATTTGAAATTGACATTCATTACACCAGCAAAAAAACCACGAGAGGTCAGGAAGAACGAAATAGGTGTTTCTTCACGATACAGAACCTATCAACTGTGTAAATGATACCCTTATCATACATAGGGATTCAGTTCTTCAAGAAAGTATCTGCCCTCACGTTAAGGATGTTCTCTCAGAAATGTATTGCCTTAATCGAATGAAAAGTATAGATAATTAGTATTCTGAAGGAGTGAATTTAATTGAGCATAATACTGATAATGAATATCGTAGGTATCATTAATAATGAATGATAAAATTACAGAATCGGCAATGTGGATTCATGGTAACCTAAAAATATGTTTCATAATTAATAAACTTACCCGGTCCTATAATGTTATATATTATTTTGCTGTTATTTATTTTTAAAACAATACTTTATCAGTTATGTACAAATACATTAAAAACTTAATCATTCACTTTGTGCATAGGTTCTAAATCTTTTAAGTGTTCTCTGTGTACTCGAACATTCAGGCGTCGTGATAAAATCAAAAGACATTTGATTGAATGTCATTACGGTTAGTTTACCATTATCATTATCTCCCTATTTTTGTGTTAGTAATTTTCTTTTCTATATCCTGAGTTATACTGTCTAATGTAATTGTTAAAGATCGTTTAATCTGATTCTATAATCATACAGTTTTTTAACAAAAAGGCTTTGGCATGATCTAAAAATCCAGGTTTTCACAATTTTTCAAAGTAGCTTTTGGATTACATCAACTACTATGATATTATAATGCAACTTTCTAGGAATAAGCTGATCATCAAAGTTTCCTGAAGTATACAACGTTTTCTGAAGTAATCAGGATAGTTTGTTAAATACTACCAGTAAACAAGCAGAAAAAGAATTAGTTTATTTTATGATCATTATTCAGAGTTAGTTTTCAAGTGTAAATGGGCAATATTTTTCTTAGTATTTAAGAATATAAGAAAGAAGGTACTGTGTATTTTATACTTAATTACATTCTGTTTAGAAAATTCTCATCAATGACTGCTATGTATAATTGAATTTCAATGTATTTAATTCGCTGATAGTGATTTTGTTTCTGAAGTCATAAGTTTAGTATTCTGAACTGATTAAAATTAAATGTTTCATTGTTTTCATCAACTTTCACACTTATTATCATGCCGGTTTGAAAATTGAGATGACTAATCTGTACTGGATAGAAAAGGTTCGTTTTCTAATTTTATTTAATTAGTGTGTTATTATAATATTCAAATACATTATGTTAAATTCATTCAATCTCCTTTACTCTCATGTCATTTACTATGAAGCATCTTCTACCGTTTTTATTGTAGGGATAAAAGACTATGAATGTTCGTTGTGTTTTAAAAAATTTGCTCGTAATGAACATTACAACCGACATATGAATGATGTTCATACTCGTAAGTTGTGTATAACTATGAGGACTTATAATGTTATATGTTTTATAATATTTCTATATGTGTATACCTTAACGAAAAATATGATTTAACACCTTAAAATTGATGGTGTTCAAATATTATGTTATTCCTGAAAATGAATAAACCGGTATATTTCTCTCATAATTTATCCATATGTTAACCTATACTCAAGAGTACTTTATTCTCAGAATAAATAGTTTAGAACCAAATGGCCAGAATACATATAAATAGTGTAGATTGTTTCTACGATCTTATTAAGAAGATTGGTTGATAAACTCGTACTAGTATTCTCTTCTAGTAATGAAAGCATACTCGAACATATAAGTGACATTTAATCCAAAATGAGTGTTTAGTGAACCCCTCAACCTCATTGTCTTGTTGATGAAAGGTGTTAGCATAACATAGATTGGATTAAAGCATGCCCAATGCACGACTGTTTTGCTGCACGCTGATTGGCTAATTCTTTTCCAATCAGCGCTGGTCGGTACTTGGCGAACAATCTAGAAATCTCATGTAAAAACTACAAATATACTAAGGTTTTTCCTGTTGTGCTTCTTACTTCCATCTAACCTTGTTATTTGGAATATAATCTCTTTTTTGTTCAACCGTGTTCTGATTGGGGGACTTGTTAAGTGAACTGGTGTCGGAGAATACTAAGCAATAGGAATAGCTGGGTTGTAATAAGAGAGAATTATAACAAAGGGGAACAAGAGAAAATAAATACTGAGTAAAGAAATTGTATTCTTGAAAAAAATGCAAATATTGGTCATAAAATGCTGGTTTAAATGTGTGATTGATTTATCTGGAAATCAAGTATAGCACTGTAAGAATATTGACAGAAAATAGGAATCACAACCAATAATTAAGATTTATTTAGTTGACAAGCTTTTACAACGTGTAAACCAGAAGTTGCGGCACACAATATAGTACTACATCATTGTAAAGATACACAGAAAAATGTACATAACCGTTAATAATGCTCAGATAAAAAAGATAGATCCAGGGAGCTTCTGATATTTATTTTTAATTTTAAAAGGAGAACTTCGTCTAGAGAATGAAGAGGTTATAACATATTTCAATATATTACGACATTTTTGTCCCACAAATAAATTTAAAGAACCAACTGCCTCTTTTTTGACTAGTTTCAGTGGCTAGGAAGAATGATTGGTATAGCGATTACTAAATAGTATGCATTAAATGAGTTACACTAACATGATTTTATGTTTCGAAATTTTGCTCATCGTAAAATAATATTGTCTTTTATCAACTGCAACTAAATATCATAGCTGCTGAAAATTCTTTAGAGTTAACTTTGTTTTACTGAAAACGAGTTGATATATCTTCCAATATTCTTCTATGGTATCTAAAATGTTAGACCCAGTATTTTGAAGTACAATTAAGCTTGATCACTACACCAATGATTCGGATCATGATTTTTTAATTTCTGTGACCAGTTAATAGTGGCCCATTTTATGGGATTTAGATCCATAGGAACTACATAGTCGTTCTGATATTATCACTGAAGAAGTGTTGTTTTCATCAGCCTTAATACTGTTAGCTGTTATAAATAACTGAATACTTATACACTATGTAATTAAATCCCATTCATTCATTATTTATTTGCTTTTAATGGTATTACTTAAATCTGTTGTATATTTATCGACCTAAACCCCGTGAACTAGTTTTGTTTTTGTTTTGATACTTTGGGATAATTACGTATATTTATGGTGTATTTTTCTTTTTCACAATATGACTTTTACTTCCTGTCTTCTCTTTCTCTCCTTTTATAATAATTTAGTCACCAAAGGTTATCATTGCCGTTTGTGTAATCGAAGATTTAAACGAAATTCAGAGTTTTGTCATCATATAAAAACTGCTCATCATGGTAACCTTTGTAAATTCATTATAAAATAATTTCATTTTCTTAAAAAATCACTTTGTCATGAATGCTTTCATCGTTAATATTATCGACATCTTTTATTTATGTTTTCAAAAGAATATATGTGATATTGTTTGAATAGGACAATATCACTTCAAAATAAATGGTCCACTACTTTGATCATTGTACATACTGACTTATAAATGAAATACTTTCATGATTATTGTCAAGTTCTATTTAATTATTTACTTTTTATTAAAATAAGCAAGTAGACATTAAAACAAAACAAAAAATTAAAACGAAAAGCCTATACTTCCTAATCCATACAATATAATAAATAAATTTCAACATAATTCTTTATTAATAGTGTTAGTGGGATCCAGAAAACTCCTCGAAAAAAACCAAGAAATGCTCTGAAAACACTGAAAAGCAGCTTATCCAATCAGCGTTCACTAGACGTTTTGTCAGAAACATCTAGAAAGCGATAACTCATATGTCGAGTTTCTGACTAGATGAGTACTCATACTGCTACTATATTTAGTAGCACTCCAAGGACATCTAAGATACTATAAAAACACCAGATATTCTGAAGTAAAGCGTCTCCTATATTTCGCGCTTTTTCCCTTATGTTCAAGTTGCTGTGTAGATTTAACCTGGAGGTTACTAGAAGAGCTTGGGGACCGAATCTAGCCTTTAATTAAAAAACTTATCAATATTAATCTAAGTAGCCTCATGATGTTGTTGAGACCTTAAAATTCCTTTACATTTTTAAAAATATAAGAAATTCATAAATGGTTTATCTGTATACACAAATAAATAATTTATGCAAGATATTGTCTTTTCACTCCGGATGAAAAAGCGAACCCATTTTAATTACTACAAAATCAATTTGAAATTCTACGGAAATTTTTTTAGATCATTTTCATCTTAAATTGATATCATCTGAAGAATTATTGAAAATCAGTATGCATTGAAGTTATATCTTGAAGTTATATCTTTGATTTTCTAACAATTATATACAGTTGTAATCAACTTTAATACTTATTAATTTCGTCATTCAAACATCTATGTTAGGTGATAAGAGATAGTCAACGGGGAATTTTGTACTTAGGCATCGTACTAGTTGACAGTTATAGCAAGGTGTACCTGTAATCTTGAGGGAACTGATGCTTCATGATTGATACAAACCATTTAACATCGAAATATAGCGCACTCGATTTTGAGTCACTCAAACTAGTGACGGTATTGTAGTTCGATCGACAGGATTTATTCAGCCCTAAAGGACTAGATAGAAATGACATTGGACTCTATGCAGTAATTAATTTGTGTTGAACATTTGTTTTTATATATGACTATTGATCTGTTTAGAGAATTTTTCGAGTGATTTCCACTGTGAATTGGAAGTATAAAGAATATTTACAAAATAATATTTGTACTTCACACTTCAATTCTCTGCAAGTAGCTAACAAAATGTCTTTATGAGATTTCAATATCATAGATAGTACACTTGTACTATTGTTTCGAAATTTTGACCCCGTTTATATACTCGATTTCCTTTTAGTTTATACTGGGTTCGAATCCATCTAGTTAATTTTATTTGAAAAACCCAGTAGTTTCATCAGCGTTCATGCAAAATTTAGTTTACCGTTGAAGACATATATCGATCCTTAATTAGTTACTAATTTGTATTTTGTAAGTCATTCAAAATATTTGGTTGTATTTCTATCTATTTAATTTGCCGTGTTCAATAATTTTCACTTCCTATTATTCTTATTTTCTCTTTACTTTTCCCAAGTCAGTTTTTTCTATAGAAACCAAATCATTTTTCAACCTTCAATAGCAAGCACGAAGATTTATTTTTAACGTAGTCTGTAGTGCTATGGAGGCTAAGTAGTTAAACTATTCAACTTTCGACATGCAAAACACAAGTTTGAATCTTGTGTTACGCACTTTAGTTTGAAGAATCAAGTAGTATCACCAGCCCTATCCACATAGAGTGTGTTTCAAGTCTCTTTATATGAGTCCGCACTTGGTAAATGAGTGGAATAACTCAACTTTAGTTTTTTAGTTTGAAAGCGAAAAATTGCTTTAATCTGAATCTTTCATTTATTCTATCTTTTAACGATTAACATACATTACAGAACAATCTGGATTGTTTGCATCCGGTTCAGTTTTATTATTTAATCAATCCGAAGATACAATCAATAATAATGATCATTCAACTAGTAATCATCTTTCACATAATTATGAGCAGCAACAATCATTACAAATTGATCAAGTGGACTCGAACTCAATCGATGTTGTAAGTTTCAATGATTTTATAATTTATATTTAATGGACAGATTTTTATGAATCCCTAAAACTACAATAACACTAATAATTTATCCTTTGGAATGTTTGATATTCTTCTGTGAACAGTGCAATTTTTCCATTTAAATACAATCAAGAAATTGGGCACATCTAGTTCTAATAACCAAGATGTGTACATGTGTTGAGAAATAAATTAGTATATAGATATAAGAAGAACATTCAGATTGAGTATCGTAGTAATTATCAAAAGACAAAAAACTAATTATCTTGGGATACACTACATTGTTGACTTTTATTTTCTAATAAATACTATTTATTCAGTTCTTAACTTTTTTTAAGCCATTAAATCGCACTATTGTTTCGGAGTCTATGAGTGTTTATAAAATTATATTCAAAAAAAAAATCATTTTCCCACTCTCTAATTGTTTGCTTCAGCGTTCTGTGATGAAAACCAGTGCTTGTTTTGACGTTACTTTTATTCATCACGTAGGCTTGTAAATACTGCCAAGTTTCAACTGACATCATCTCAACTATTTTTGCCTCTTCAACTATTTATTTCTAATTACTATTTGTTGCCGAATCAGTCCTTTTAAGCAGGATCTAGGTCGTTTAATTGCGTTATTTATGTCTGAAACATAATTTACCACTGCTCATATTCGTCATCCGAGCATGTAACCAATTTTGTAATGGATAATCATAATTTCATATTTTGGTGATATATCTACTATTTTGTATCATACACAATTCTAATCAATAGGAAAAATCTGAATTGATGTTTTTACTTTACATATGTGTGAAGATAAACTTTATATTTTAGTGATCGTGTCCTACTGTTTGCATATTGAGTAAGGTTGAACATATGGAGTTTTTCAGTGTATTCAGTTTTCCCCTAATATATGGTAGACGATAGGATAATGCTGTTGTTGTTTTCCTGTAAAGTTCATTCTAAAAATCGTGTTTTTTTTTTAAAAAACTGTTTTAGGCTGGACCAGGTTTATATGTTGAGGTAGAGTTTAATGCAGATAAAACCGAAGATGGAAAAAGTATGTGTTTGTCATTTTTCAACATTTTAGCAACGTATTTAAGACGTTTATGTATATGAGAATCAAAATTAATACTTAGTGACATAAAATCATTTTTGTGAACTTAATGTCAACATGTACGTAGCAATGAAATTAGATGCAATTTAGTGATTTGTTACATCCATATATCAAATTTATGTTCCTGATTTAGTTTTTAATCCCCATTGAATACCGAACAAACCAGTATTTTTGGAAGCTGTATGTTATGCGTAAAGTACTGTCAATGAACGATATTCGTGTATTCATACCACTACTTATGTACCTCTTTTACTCAAGATATTGATAGATGTAATACCATTTATGAAAGTCCCTAAACTCATCATTAAAAACATTTAAATTGTATTATATGACTCAGTTCATTCTGGTATAGTAGGAATTAAGCAAAACTTCTTGTATCTGAGGTCTTGACGTACTACTTGGCTACCCGGATTCATGTTGATAGGATGGGTTTTAACATTAGATCTTGATAATGTTAAGTTTAACAGGTTGGCATATTTAACATCCAAAGTTTCAAAAGAAGTCAGCAGGAAAAAATAAGAAGGAGTTGGAATTAGTGCTACTTATTGTAGTAGTGAAAAATTAAGATAAGAAACTTAGCAGCAGATACCATCGAAATCAAGTAATGAACAATTAGATAATCCATTGCCCAATACTACGAAGAAACGGATGCTTCTTTACTACCTCAATCGATTTTAATGCTATATTATTTAAAATATGTAAGTAATTGTTAAACATGGTTCTCAGACTCGAACCAAAGACACTTGGTATTTCTGATCACTGTTCAGATTAACTTTTAAAGATTTTCTAGGACGAACCCATTCATTTTGTGGCATCTGTTATCTTGTTCAATTTTCAACTCACGAATACCGTAAATGTATAATTTTTATCATAATTTATCTACCCATTGTTCAGTTTCGTTGAAATGATCAAACCAAATAATATTGATAAAATAAACATAATTTTACGCTATTTAAAATACAATCGAAGTTTTAACTTTAATAAATACTACAGATAATTAGCTGTGACGTTAAAAGAAATGCTTCATGTATGGAGCGTTTTAATAAGCAAACTATCATATTATAGAGCTCACTCATGCCCGGTTTTCTCTTGTATCTTTATAACATGGTAAATAATTTTCATTTCTCTTATATTTTGTTGGTAAATAGATCCTAAACCTTTTGAATGTACATTGTGCGGAAAATCATTTAGCCGACAGGATAAGTTAAGACGACATTATCAGGAAGCTCATGATGGTATGCCTTTATTGTTATTATCCAACTAATAATTTTCTAATATTAATTTTTTTTGTCGAATTCACTAGTCGCGTAAAGTGTTTGAATATTATCTAACTGTAGTTGTTTTAAAGAGCATTTAGTTATCCCCTCCATAGTGTTCAACAGAATTAAGAACTATACATACATAAGTGTTGTAATATATCTATTTATCAAAAATTAACCACTTCCAATTAAAAGTAATAACGTTTCCAATCGTTACTTTAAAGTTTTGTAAATATATGTTGAAATTTAGATTTAAACTTAAGATTTCATTTTTAGTGACTAATTCTCGAGGAATTATAAAATTACTTCACAACTATTTATCATATTTCTCATCGTTTCATCATCGGTAATAGTAGCAAATAAGCTTCACATAGTTTAATGATTTTATTAAATGTTAGTTGCTGTGATTTGAAATATTTAGGATGCTGGGTATCTAGATCCTGGATCTTTTTATCAGTTTATACTCAGTATATAATATTTAGATCAACGATGTCACGCCAGAAAGACATGAATGCACTGAGTACTATTGTTTCTTAATGAATTTAAACATTTAGTTTCTCTAATTCAACTCATTTTTTCATCTGTCCATTTTTTCCATGTTATTTTCTCTCATAAAATGTAAAAGATTTTGATGATCAGTCTCACCGTTTGCGTAGTCAAAAATGAAGTAAATTCTACGTTCAGTCTAATTATTAATTTCTTTAACGACAGTAATTAGAGAATTACTGTCATAATTCACTTGGTATTGTTTTAATTGAATCTTCCCATTGATGTTTTATGACTGAAATTGATCAGTCTCTTATTGGCATATGTGCACACTGTGCGTATGCCTCGATATTACCTTAATTTACAAGCATTATAAGCAAAGATGGATAGTGGCTAGTAGTGGAATCGAGGACGCGCGTTTCGAGTTCTACTGAGTTCGACTCCCAGAGTAAACATCGACTCTGAGATGCAGGTACATCCAGCTGACGTGTCCCAAACAGGATGAAACGCGCGTCCTAGATTCCACTACTAGCCACTATCCATCTTTGCTTATAATTACTGTCATGTTTAATGTTTTGTTATTTTCCGATGAAATTTTCGTATTAGTCAAAACTCAAAAAACACTATTATAATATATATGACTTCACACATTTTGTATTGTACTAACATTTTATTGTGAAACTATGTAAACAAATTAAACCCTAGGTTTATGTAAAGAACATAAAGTAATTGGAAGTAGATCTATTCCTAGTCAACGTAAATTAGTTTTAAAATTTTCACTGGAACCATGATATCCAACAGATTCAATCTTTAACAATTCTTTGTCTACTGAAGTGGTTGGAACATGTATTATATTTGCCCAACCACAATATGCCAACATCTAATGTTGGCTCGAATAAGAAAAGGTTACCTGGAAATTAGGCGTGATCAAACCAGTACATGTAATCAGGTCAAATAATAATTGACTATTGGAATGGGTTGTGTTAACGGGTCCAAACTGACTTGTTGGGGTCAGTGTAATAATAATGACCAGTAGTTTGAGATGCTGGTTGACATAAATCAAAATCTATCACAGTGGTGGAGATACATTCACTATATATCTTCTCTGAAGTCTTGAGCTTCAATATTATTACATAGTTTTTACCCCTCTAATGCATTCCTTTTGTTATCGGCTTTATTATTACTTTGACTCTTTTGCTATTCCTCTTGTTAATCTCAAATCAACTTGCTGACGTTATAGAACCGCTAAAACTACCACCAGTATTATTGATAGACAACTTTGAAACCCTTTTTAACTAACAGGTAATTCCATGTTAAACATAGTATTTGAGATAGGAGAGAAATTTAACTAGAAATCCATGTTTCAGATTGTTAATTGCTGAATTAAAAATTACTTTGACGTAATGTATGATTCATACAATTTTCTAGATTTTTATCCTTCCTTAAGATGGTTAATCCCCTTGCTAAAAAATTCTAACTATTTTTACATCATATTTTATACACAGTAGGACTGTATGAATGAAATTCTATTTCATCTTAATATGAATATTCTTTGTAGTATCAGATAATTTCATTTTACATGTACTTTTGTAAATAAACGTAGTATGATAAAAAATAATCTCTTTATTTATTTTATTTAATTAATTTATTTATTTATTTACATACTAGTCTACTTTCTCACTTTATCTGTACATTAGTTTTTCTTTGTTAATATCTCTTCTTTCACTTATTAGGTATTAGAGAAGAGCATCAATGTCCTGCATGTGAAAAAAGGTTTTATCGCAAATATCATTTAAATCGTCATGTTGCTGAGGTTCATCGAGGTAAGGAGATTTATTTGTTTTGTGGTACAATATTACCATATAGTTTAGTAATTTAAAAACCCATATGGGATATTTAAAACACCAAGAATATCAGAGAGACTTTAAACATAATCATTCGTAAATTTTCTGCCGTGCGTAAAATTATGGCAAACTCAACATAGTAAAATTTCTTGTTTATGTTATTAGATTTCCATAGGTTACTGAAAGCATCAGGGATATAAGGTGTAAATCATTAGGAAAATGGTTAAAGCTTTCTCTTTAATCGGTTTAAATTACTCCGTAGAATCTTTTATTAAAATCAAATAAAACATCGTTTTTACTTAGAGTTAATTGATGGTTAGAAGTGGGAGTCAGGACGCGCATCTTGTTCTATTGGTAACTCGTCAGTTGTACTTAAGAAATGCTTTCGACTTTATGGCAGAATCTAGGGAATCCGCACATATACTAAAAAAACATTGATCAATTAGTCTTAAACATTAATGGAAAGATTTAAACAACCAGTATAAATGAATTAAATAAAAAGTCCGTTTGTATTACGGGACATTGAATTAAGTTAATACACAACCTCTAATGAACGTCTTAGTTTATTTCATTATGTCAGTCAGTAGGAGGATTCAAATTATAATTTCATGCGATAAACAGGCGAGGATTTTTCATGTGGAGTGATAGTATGTTTGTTTACAACAGTCATTTTTCTGGTATATGGAAAGATCCTGTTGGGTTCTTACATTATTTATCTTTTGTTATTGAGTGATATCATACTGATGAGTCTCACTCTCTGTGTATCTTAAAATTAGATTTCTAGATCATTTCCAAAATGTAACGAACTCTCATCCAATTTCTAATGAATAATTTCACAGTAGTTGGTAGGTAAGTGCGTAAAAGTCATTAGGAGTAAAATCATATTTTGCAAAGCTCTCAAAGACCGATATCAAAGGACCTAAACGTTTTGCTCGGCTTTCTGGTTTAAGCTTCAGAATTATAATCAAAATTTCAAATTATCGAACATAAGTGCGACAACAAAAATGTCAGCTTTTTTTATAAAGTCCAAAACTGTCTAGAAGGACTTCGATTAGATAGAGCTCAATTTTGTGTCCTTTTTCTGTCCAATTCAACCTTATCTCCGGTATCTTTTCAAGTTTTTTGAGGACATAGATAATGTGTAAGTCGAGTTACTTCCACTATTCCTACAAGACAATGATGTTGCATCACTCATGGTTTATCTACTGCAGGTAGCTTAATCTAGGATACCCGCTAAACTTGTGCAATTCATACTAACTTTAGTGTCGAGCCTTTCCATAGTCTCGATTTTGTATTTTATTTAGGTGTTAATGTTCTTTAGAGAATGAAAGTATATGATTTAACATAGTAGATATTTTAAATTCAATAACGATGGACCTTTTGTGATATAATGTTGATAAAATAGTGTTTGGGTCATCTGTTTTAGCTGGGAAGCCATTTTTATGTCCATACTGTCGTCGTGAATTTGCAAGGGAATGGTCTTATCACCAGCATCTACAAAAATATCATGATGGTAAGTATTGACTAATCTGCTTAATAATTTCTCTGTTTTATCTATTGCATATTGTCTGAATTCGTTTAACTGATTTTACCTTTCAGATTGTGTGAATTCTGCGCCAGTAACTTGTATAGAAAATCTCGAGGGATAATACTGAATTTATTCCTTCCATTCAGTATTCTGTGTACATATTTCTGTTTTAACCTTATATATGTGTTTTTAATGGTCTAAAGACTCCTGTAAAGTAATATCGTAATTATTATTCCGTCATTTTAGACAAGTTGTTCGACTTCTATTATTCTTGGTGTGTTGAGTAACTGACTTGGTTTCTTATCTTTATTAGCCGAGCTACGTGTTGTCTAAGATCATATCACTTTACTGAATGAAATTTACGGGTAATATACTTGTCCCCAAAACAAATGTTTACAGCTACTTTAAGGAAACTTTTGTTTTCATAATACTGGAACAGATCCAACTTTGACATTTTTCCTGTCAAAATATCTTTTCAATAACTTAATATAAATTAATCGGACTTTATGTACCAGTTTGGAATTACTTGTGATTTTAACGTCGAGCGAGAAACCTCACTTATAATGTTGTAATGATTTTCTGGGAAGTATCGAGACACTTGACTCTAAAAATAATACATTATGTGTATGGAAGACAATAATAAACTCCGGAAAACGAGCACACCATACCAGTTGACCAGGATGTGAATTGTTTCTTTTAAAGAATTTAATCTGGAATATCACGCTCTGTGATTCAAGCTCCGAGTTTAAATGTATTACGAAAATTCAGCAGATAAATATTGTAGTAGAGGAATCGACAAATGACCTTTAGCTTGAGATATCCAATCACTCAATAGCTAGATATCTTTATTTCTGTAATAAGTGTACATAAATCTTTGTAAATTTCCAAGCATAGGCTCCTGTTAAATCCATTGTTTTTCCTCAACAACACGTTAGGTCCTCAGTTAGTTTTTTTCCTTTAGTCATTCTCTTCGGAATTCATATGTTTAACAGTACTGTATTTAGTTCAAAGTACATCACTGACTTTACTGAAATTTAGACTTCGTGAGTACTAGAATAGTGTCCTTTCTCTGAAGTCTGAATAAAAATAAGGTGATCCAAGTGTCATAAGATTTTTAAAAAAATAATTCAGGTCCATTGGTATTAAACCAATAGTGCAATAACGGTACATAATGACAGGAAGAATTACAATAATTAGTCACTTGTAAGCATATTCTAAATGTATGAACAGGTCGCATTTTATGTTTTCGAGGATTTACGTTACGAAAGCTTATTACTTTCACTTGACTTTAAAACTGACCACGCAAGCATTAGTAACCAACTTCTCCTCACGAAAAGCTTAATAGCTATTCAACCTTGATCGTGTTAACAGACTTTTTCGTGGAAATTAGCCAAAAAGTCATCTACAAATGACGTATTGAGACATTCCTCCAATCCTCTATTTCCTTCATCAGCGTTTGCAAGAAATTTACCTTGACCAAATATATTGTTCATTGATCCTATTATCATCTCGGTGTTTGGCGAATAGTAAATGTCATGTTAGTTGATGCTGTTACAGTCGGGTAGTATGGACTAAACTGGGTGAAGGTATACTTTAATACATCTACACCAATCTAGTATCTCACTGTGAGCTTTTTCTGCTTATACATCCTCTTCAGACACGTTTGCCAACACGGATTAATTTTAAAGTGCGATTTCGCATCCACACCAGTTCCATGTTTATCACTTCGATTATTCCACTGTCTAAGACATTGATAAACGGCATATTATTTGCTTCATGTTAATGTCTTTAAAATGTATGAAAAAACACCTTTATGTTTGTGTGGTGCAATTTTAGAATGATGATATTTCTACAAAATTAATAGGTCAGAAATGAAACCCAATTTTCTTATGGTTGAGGAGAGTTCTCAAGAATCTTTGGCATGTAGAAATACCTGGGTATCTATTCTACTTCAGCCGCACATTTCAGAACTAAATACTATGGGAATATATATGGTTGGATATCAGTGGTTAGGTTATCATGCAAATGACGTGTGCCATGTTCTCAGTAGATATTCCTTTACATCTTGGCAGACGTTTATTAGGCTGATGACCCTCCCTTTGGGATATTTTCCATATAAACGAAAGCTGGGTTTAAGAATTCATCGACTTGAATTTTTGCTTGTTACGGTTATGTACATAGATTCATAAAAATTCACAATAGTATTATTTACACAACCGGATTCATATGCTCCAGAATAAAGGTAGGATTTAAAATCCCACATAAAGGACTTCAGAACGAGATTCCTGCTTCCAATATGAAACAACCTGCCGGTGAGAATTATGTACAGGATTACCGGAGTGAAGTTGATATTCATCCTGACATAAATCTTGTTATCCGTGTTAAACGACGATCTATAGGACTGCAGATAGATGAGAGAGTTCGAAATTGGGAGAAGAGCCTGATCTTACGTAGTCTTCTGATAATTAACCGGACGATATCAAAACCAATGTGTTGATAGAGGAATCACTGAGTGGAACCAGCTGTTTGTAGCTCCTATTTTCGTAGTCTGTCAAACGAAATGAGGGAGTCTTGTAACATTTTCGATGCAGAAAAACTTGATGGTATTGGAATTCGAAAAACGCTGTTGACGTCAGGGTTAAGTAACAGTAAAGCCTGGCTGATGGATTTTTCTATCACCAGAGGTGATACAGTAGACCATAGGGACTGTTATAATCTTACAGCCGGGCTGCCTACACTGAGAGGTGCATATTTCAGAATCATCTTGGTGATAGCAAGATGTCGGCTCGCATTTACCATACAGTGTTTCGAGACAAGAGGCAGATAATTTCCTAACAAAATACAATTATAAAGGCCTGCAGCTGTTCTAGTCCCAGGCCCGGGTAAAGGAGGAGGGTTGCTTGCTAAAAAAGCGCCAACCAGATTAAACAAATTAAGTGTAAAGGGCTCGTATTATGCGATTTAAATGAAGCCTCTATGGACTTGACACCAATTAGAAACAGATATATCAGTAAATTTCTAAACCATATGCTTTTGGATTAACTGAGTTTTTAACTAGCTTTACACAATTGAGTCCCTTCCTGATGTGACTGAGGAACTGACTTTTTGCCACATTTATCTGATTCTAGGAGATACCGCTATTCCAATCAACTTCTGTTCTACTATTAAAGGAAGTAGCATCGCGATTAGCATTGTAGCGGTAAATAAATTCCCAAACTAAATAGCTCTGTAAGTTTTCGACATTGGATGCTGACCATATGTTTTAGTGGACTAATCTAGCTGAAGGCGCTCGGTCATGCATCCGCACCAGATCACGTGTGGTAACGCTGTGCTCAACATCTACCGCAATCGCTAGTCAGATTAGATCAGAGAATTCCGATATATTGGTTATCGCCAAATACACTCTTCCGATCTCCTCGACTCTGTCTTTTGATTTCTCTCGGTGGGAACAAAGTATATTAGTAGGTGTTACTGGTAGAAGCGTTGTCAAACACTAAATACCTGTATCATCCTCAGCATAATTAAACTCAATATCATTGCAGGGAAAAACACTCAAGTAAGGACAAATAGTTCATTTTTAGCAAAATTGCTGAATGTATTGATAAAATATGAAAAGCACGAACTGGATACCTCATCTGTAAATTCCTATCACTTTTTGCTTCACATTCTGTATGCCTCTTCCACTTCACAATTTCTTTTTATTCTCCTATCATTTTTGACTCGATCTTCTTAACCTTCTACTGCCAGGTTTTCTACTTCTGACTGGTGTCATTAACTACTTATGTCTGTCGGCTTTAGCGGCATACACCACGCTATCACGGTTCTGCAGACATACCCGCCTAAGTGTATGAGAAGCTATCATGAAGGTAGTCAACACAGATTCTTTCGATGAGTGACTTTTAAATTTGGAAATATGAGGATAGGATATAGAAAGTTCTGAAATCTATGTGATTTGGCTGTTCACTAATTTTCGGATTGACCATGTGATTTGTTGCCTATTTACGCGAAAACGTCTTGGCACATCTTGTTCAATATAACTCAACGCGTCAATTTGAAATATATGCATTGACAAAATTTGAACTCTCAAACTAATCACTGGAGTTAACTTCACAAACCGTAACCAAGTATCCAAAACCATATCGCTGATTTATCAGCCACAGCGGAAAATGTATCGAACTCTTGCCGTGTTAACGTATTGACATATATATCAGACGACGGAAGACAAGACTAATTGCTTCATGTATGTTTTTCCATATGGGCCTCTCGGTGGAGATATCGTAGTAGAAGCAGTATCACAAAACCAAACAGAGCGAATCAATTTAAGTGAAGTGAGTTTCTTAAACACGGAAAAGTCAGCAAACATTCATATATTCCTTAACAACTTCCATTTTAGTTATCATTCCCAGTCACGATTACATTTAGAGTGTTGCTTAGTAAATACGTATTACCAGCAGATAAAACTTGTTAGATAGCTACGACAGCTTGGGGAATGCTTCTCTGTGTATCACGTATTATCTGATGGCAAAAGAGATATAAACATTAGCAAGATAATATGAATTAGTTATATCTGATCCCCCTCAACCTCAGTAAGGTCCCGCACAATCAACACTCTTGGAGCTGAGAAGCTCGGAAATCTGCAAGCATCTGCCCAGATTTACTTAGCACTTTCTAGTTTGTTACTGACTGAGAGAGATAATTAATTATGAAGTCGAAATTTAGAAGCCAGCAGAAATTTTAGGAGATTAGATCTACTGTTGCTCGATTCCCAAACAACGAACTTCCATGTATCACTCTGACTATAACAATAATATTATCGGTTATATTGAAATGTGAAGAGAAATTGCAAAATGATAATACAAGTGGAATACAAGCTAAACCCAATGCTCTAATATGGTGTTCTTAATTATGCTCAATGTTTACTAAAGTTGTTTAGTGTGTCTTCAAGCACATCGTACTAGAAGATGGCACTATCTACATCAAGAATATGACCTTACTTGTTATCCTGGTTGTTGGTCAATAAAGTTAGATCTGTAAGTACTGCAAATAATGTAAACGGTAGTTTGTTCTCGAATAACAATGTCGATATTTATCAACCGATTTCTGTTAACCACTGCACAGTTTAATGCATTGAAGTTTACTACTAACCAGATAAGTAAATAGTATGGAATCCAGTTATCTAGATATAATTGCTTATCAGTGCTTGATTATTTGGCAGACACTAGGGTTTGAAGTTTTATCTTCCTCGAAT